TTCAAAGGAATGGCTAGTTGGGACCAGCAGTTAGTGTAATGGCTATGTTGCTGGACTCCCACGTAGTCAACCGTGGTTCGCGTCCCGGACCCGGTGGCTTAAAACTCACGCCGGGTGCATGTGCGTGCGTGCCCAAGATCCTGAGAGGAGAATGGAGGAGAAGGGTTTGTGGTGTGGCCATCCCCCCGGGGGGTGATTTCTCGCTTTCTGTCTGTCTGGCGAGCATGCACCCTATAGCAAAAACCTCTCAAAAAAATAAATAAATAAAAAAGGAATGGCTAGTTGTGCATTTCCCCACCTGTCCTAGTCATTTCCCCAGAGAGAGAATGCAGTGAAGACACCTATGAAGGAGGGAGATTTCCTTCCAAAAGGCAGAAGCTTTTCCTAGAACTAATCACCACGGCCATCATGAGAAAGTGCATCAATACCCTTTGCAAGCCATGAAAACCCAGAGTTGCTTTGGAATAGAGGGGATTCGCTAGTTTGTGGAACAAATTTGGCACACCTCTGTCTATTTTTGGACACCATATAAACTTACTTTTCCATCAACAAGGAGATCTTTGTGTGGAGAGCATTTATTCTAAAGATCCACTGCCTCCACAGGCGCTCCAGCTCCTTCCGTCAGGTACGCTGCGCAGCTCTCTACGAAGGCCACCAGGAGGGCTCCAGCTCCACCAGGCCCTGCCTGGCCACCCAGAGGGCAGTAGAGGGCAATGTGGAGAGCACGCTTGTAACTCACCCCCACTCACTTGGTGCCCTGGCACACCTGGTGGGAAACCGTGAACCCCAGTGCTTCGCTGACTAGAATGTACACACAACCCTCAGCAGGCCTTGCCAAAGTGCAGATTCTGATTCTATAGAGCCAGAAGGCCTGAGAATCTCCATCTCTTCTCTTTACTTTAAATTTGTCAGAGGGCTATGTATGTGCCAAAGAAAGAGAAGGCGAAAAGGCACCCTATGGGAGATGGTGGTACCACAATCCTTTCTCCTCCATCCCGCTCTCCTTTCACGATTTTGAGCATGCGCACACACGTGCCCAGTATGTTTTTCAAGTCACCAGGTGCAGGATTTGAACTGCATTGTCAGCCACGTGGGATCCAACTGCCTTAATCACACTATCACCAGCTGGCCCATAAATCTACATTTCTAACTATGTTCCACGTAATATCGAAGCTGCCAGTCTAGGGACTGTGAGTCTAAGCAGTGTTTCAAGTTCCAGGGCCAGAGTTTTATTAATACTGTCTCTAGGATTTCCTAAAGGAAAAAGCTTCTTTTCTTCTGTTCATAGTATAAGTTTCCGTCAGTATAGCTGAGTATTTGACTTTCTGACTTAATAAATGAATGATGTGAGGCAAGAACTCGGTACGCTGTCTTACAACTTTTTGGATAGTTGTAAAAATGAGTGGTATCCAAATATATGATTCATGCTGCAAAGACACAAAAAGAGGAGACAGCTATTGTCTTCAGCAGCCGTCAGCGCAAGAAATAGCTTCAGATAAAGAAATCATCTTGGGGGAAATAGGTTGTAGGCTGATAGAGGTACTTGAAGAAGTGAGAGAGACCTGAGTTGAATGGGATCACTATCGCTCTCAAAAATAGAAGCCACGGGATCTAACACAAGGATAAGGGTGAAAATGCACAAATTTACTGCCAAAAATACAGTTCCTCCTTCTAACAGAGTGATTGAGAAGGGACAGTGTCTCAAGAGCCAATTGTTCCAAGCTGACGATTCTGGCATGAGATAAGCAATGCTTTTAGTATCTTGCTAGACTTTAGGGGTTCATTTCCAAATGAGATGGGAAAACCTGTGGAAGGAGATTGAGAACAAAGTTCTGAAAGCTTTCTTGACACATGATTTAGATTTGGGAAAGGTGTGTTGTCTAGCAATGACTAAGAACTGTTTGATTTTTTTTTTTCTTCTTCTTTTTCTTTCCAATCTTGCCCTGAAATTCTATAAGTCCTGGGATATTCTTTATTCTTTTAATAATTTTAGATATTGTCCAAGTCCTCATATTGACAGTTTGTTTGTCCTAGCTAATATCAACTTCAGTCTGTGGGATCACATAGTCAATAGAAAAGAGAAGTTTGGGATTACTTTCATTTTGAAGAATACATCTTCGGTTTAAAGGCTACAGCTGGCTTAAAGGGGCTTGCAGGTTAAAATGATGAATGAAAATATTTTCTCTCCATTTCTCAATGACTAAATGCCAAAATAAAAATGGAGTGATATTGAAACAACATTAAACAATTCTACAATTTAGCTCATGTAAAAGGACAACAAAACACATTCCCAGGTTAGCCAGTGGCATGGTGGCTAAGGCAGCTGGATCCCACATGACTGACTGTGTGGGTCGAGTCCCAGACCCGGCAGCTCGGAAAATGCAAGTGTGTGGCATGCCAAAAATCCCAAGAAGAGAATGAAGAAGAGATTGTGGCATGGTTATCTCCCTTGAAGGGTGCTTTCTCACTTTTTCTTTCCATCTTTTTCTTGTGGGTTCATACACCCTATAACAAAAATTCTTTTTAAAATTGCCCATATACATGGGCTTAGAAGATGTTACTTATGTGTTCTTCCCAAAAAATGATCTGAAGATCTATTCAGTTGACTACGATGAGTCAGAATTAAAAGCCCAACAGCTAGAAAAATTATATGAAACATGTCCAAATAAAATAAGTATGAGTAAAAATAGAATCAAATGTTCAAATAGATGTATAAAAACTATAAAAATAGTACTTTAATTTTTAAATTAGAAAATCTCAGATTTTAATAATAAACATTGGAAAGACCAATGCCAAAAAGACTATCAAAACTTGTCCAATTCCTTATAATAAGAGGAAGAGAAAAATGACTGATTTTTATCTGATATTGATAATTTGTCTCCAGCTGACCTGAATTATAAGCAAGACTTGAAGAAGTTCTTCAGGAGAAGGAAAATGACGTCAGACCCAAAACAGAATGGCAAAAAGGAGCGAAGAACACTAGACAGGACCAATATCTGGGTGAGTATATAAGACTATACCCACATGCACACACACTCACTCACACACACACACACACACACACTCACACACACACACACGTGCTAGATAGTAAGTCAGTTTGGCTGACTGCAACAGAATATCATAGACTGAGTGGCATATTAACAATAGAAATTTATTTCTTACAGTTCTGGAGACTGGAAGTTCCAATATATTGGTTTGTTTCTAGTGAGGACACTGCTGAGTTACAGATGACTGACCTCTCCCTGTACCTTCCCATGGCAAAAAAGAGCTTGAGAGCTCGAGAGCTCTCTGGGGACTCCTTTTATAACAGCACTAATGCCATGCACGAGAGTTCTACCCTCATGACCTAATTACCTCCTAAAGGCTCACCTCCTGGTACCATCACATTGGGGGTTAGAATTCCAACACGGGAATTTGGGAGAGGGATACAAATGCTAGGTCCGTTTTATTTACATATTCATTTATTTATAATGTATATAACACTACTAACTGATGTGAGTATACTTCACACTGCCAAACTGTACACTTTAAAACAGCTAAATTGTGATATGCTTTTTTTAAACCACAGTTAAAAATAAAACAAAAAAAATAAAAACACTACTGGCTTTTTAAAACAAAAATAGTAACTACAGACTATAATATTATACTATACACAAAAGAAAAATAAGTGTCACTGTCTCTCTCTCTCTCTCATAGGAGACATAAATAAATACATTTAAAATAAGTAAATAAAACCGAGAGAAAGACAAAGACAATGTAAACTGCAGGTCTGGCCCCCTTTGACTACTGCACTGTTGCCTGTTCGGGGAAAAATCAGTAATTGAAACAAGATTCATTCTGTACATGTACTTATGAAGCTGGTAGTGTCGGATTTTGACCATTGGTTGTAAGTATGTAAAACTTTAATTTATTTTAAGTTTATTTATTCTTGCACCAGTGAGACAGAAAGAGACACAAAGAGTCAGTGTCCCAAACAGACTCTCAATGCTACGATCCACCTCCAACCTTTAGCCAGCCCCAGATCACGGGCAAACATATGCTTGGCGTAATTGAGGAGGTCTCCAGGCTTGAAACGTGAGCCTTCTCAGATGGGATTTCCTCACAGAACCTCTTATTTTACCACAATGCCACTGTCTGGGCCCTGAAGTTCTAATTTTACAAATCATTTCTTTTCAAGTACTCTTTTTATTTTGCTTATGTCTGTTAGACAACTTTTCGTTGTGTTTGGTGATGTAAGCATTAGCCCCACTCACGGCTAAGTCCAATGGACTCGGATGGCTATATAAGAATGGCACTAGGGTGGACAAATTCTGACACCCAAAAGTTACTGGTGAAGAGGTGGGTTAGCCTCTTGCTTGAAGTTGTCTTAAAACTAGGTCCACTGGTACCTGATCCCAAATCGTCATGTCCCACCTCTAACCCCAGGCCTATAAGCTTTTGTGCCCATTCATTGTGGCCTAGTACCCATCTTTTCAGCTTTCCCTGTGTGTCTTCTGCTATTCTGACGCATACCTTCACATCCACACATACACACACACACACACACAGAGTACAAGGGTTCTTCAATTTATAAAAAATGAAATTAAATACAAGTATTTTTGGTACAAAATTTTTGGAATACATATATAGTGCCTTTTTACCTTTGACTCTAGGGACAATTCTTGGTTCAGAAAAACCAACTGTTGGGACCAGCAAATGGCGTGATGGTTACATTGTAGGACTCCCACATAGTTGGCTTCAATTCAAGTCCTGGACCCAGTGGCTTAAAATTCACAGCAGGCATGTGTACATGCGTGCCCAAAATCCGAAGAGGAGAATGGAGAAGGGATTGTGGCATGGCCATATCCCCCAGGGGGTAATTTCTTGCTTTTTGTCTCTCTGTCTTTCTGGTGAGCACATGTGCCCTATAGCAAAAAAATCTCTAAAAAGAAAAAAGAAAAACCAACTGTTACTCTAGTACCCTCAGAGAGCTGGGAAGCAGACACCAGTTTATCTACCTGTTCCCTTCCAGATCACACACGTAGGTCACCACTGGGGACCAGTCGAAGGCCCCTGGCTCCTTCTTCAGCCACTTTTCCAACTCCCGCAGGTTCTGGTCTGTGTAGTCAGTGGCAATGATCTCTTTGAAAGATTCGCAAGCAGAGAGGAGCTGATAGATGGTGGGGCCCGAGCCAATGTCAATCAGGAGGTCTCCCTTCACACCATCTGGTTGAGAGAACAAGAAAGGGGTGTCAGGTGTCGCATGGCGGCAGACAGACTGAATTTACCCTGGGATTGTGCTCTAGATCCCCAGAGACAGGCTACCTCCCTCTTCACAATTCTTCAAATTCTTTTTATAAGACATCTTTTCATTTTCCATCCTTCAATTTAGGGTGGAGGCATGCTACAAGGCTATTTTTAAAGTCTAAGAGAAGGAAAAAAAAAATCTACATCTGGTGTACAGACCAGTGATTCAGAAAGACTCCTACACGGAGAAAGTAAAAACTTTAGGGAAAGTTCATTTCTTTCCATTGAATTTATATAATGTCTTTCTCCAATTTTTCATAAATCAAGAGGTCTTTATCTCAACTATATTTACAACATTCCTTTGAGTTTGGAACAAAATAATTCTTAGATTCTCTATTTTTTAACTAGCCAATTGAGGTTAAACAGCTCCCCCAAGTCACCTAGTAAATATGCATAGGATCAAGGACAGTGCTCAGGCCCTCTGGGTTTCCCTTTTGCAAGACCAAAGGAGATTATGCATATTAAAGCACTTTGTAAACAGTAAAGTAACTACGCCAACATTAGTTTTATCCTAGTTAAATAAATAGGTGATGTCCAAAAAGCTGTTAAATAATGATGATGTGACAATACAACCCAGTCATGCCCTGACACTCTATCTATGTGACTCACATTTAGAGGGAAACACTGACCACAAACTTACCTATGCAGAATATCTTGAAAAGGTTTTTCAGCAGATGCCTAAGAATTTGATTTTCTGCAGAGTGTCTGGATTTGAAGTTGTAATATTTTTCTAGGTAATCCCGAGGGTTAAAGTGGCTTAGATAAGTGTCCTTGGAGGTGAAACCAGGTTCCATTGTGTCTCACTTCTGTATCACCAGCCCACTCTTCCTTCCCTCTTCTAGGAAAGTCAGGGAGTCACCCTGCAGGAGTTGTCTTTCTTAGTTTTGGGCTGTCAGTCTTCATCCCATCAGTTGAGCCCACCCCTTAGAGGCAGATATTTGGTTAAACACTAACTGAAAGCCTTAGACCACAAATGTTGGCTGTTCTGAGAAGTGATGACATTCCTAGAGAAGGGAGCCTGGAAAACCAGGGAAGTGGTAAAGGGAGGGGCCCTGGTCTTTTGCAATGCTGGGTCAAGGGACGAAGAAGCGTCACAAGGGATCCCATGTAGAAAGCATTATCTGGGCTTCAATGACTTAATTCATAGAAGACCCTCTAAATGCTTGGGTCAAATCTCAAAGACAGCATCATTCTCCTCATTCTTGTAGTGATTCACCCAGAGAAGAAAGTCACAAAGAATGGTTTAAATTTAAGCATTGTTAAAAACAAAAAAGGGGGGTGGGGTGGGTGGAGATGAGGCCAGGAAATGTGTTCAGGGCTAAGGAATGTTGGCTGAAGAAGGAATCTCAGCAGAAGTCTGGAAAGGATTATTTAAAAAACTTGGACCAGTCTTTCTGTGATCCTATGAAACTCTTCCATGCTCTGCATACCCCTCCAAACCTGTCCTGTGTCTCTGCAGCTTCACCTACCACTGCAGCTGCTCAGCGTGTGGTGAGCACGTCCTGCCTAGTCCTGCCCACTTCTTTCAATCAATCCAAATTCTGACAATTCTTTCTTTTTTTTTTTTTAAATTTTTGCCAGAGAGCATGTGTACTCACCAGAAACAGAAATGTGAGAAAGCGCCCTCCCCCATGGTGAATGGTAAGCTGCGGTCCCATCTCCTCCATTTCTCTTTTTGGAGTTTTAGGCACACACACACATGCACCTGGTATGTTTTTTCAAGCTGCCAGGTCTGGAACTAGAGCCATGCAGGAGGCCATATGATACCCAGTTGCCTTAACCACCAGGCTACAGGCCGGCCCCCTGTCAGTTCTTTTAAAGTGAACTTTAAGCCTTTACTTCCTTTAAAAAGTCATTGGGACCAGGTAGGGGAATAGCAATAACACAACTAGACCCACATAGGTAAAGGTACTGGGTTCAGATCCCCGGCCTTCCCTGAGCATGCTAGACATGTGCATGCACTAACTCAGTCCAGTCAGGACTGGGAGTGGGTTGTGTCTGGGAGTGGGTTGTGTCAAGACAAGGGTGCCTGTCTCTCTGTTGCTCTCTCTCTCTCATAGAAGAAATAAACTTAAAAAAAAATTCCTTGGGCCAGCAGGTGGTATGGTGGTTAAGGTGTTGGACTCCCACATAGCCAACCACAATTTGAATTCAGACCTGGAGGCTTGAAAATCACTCCAGGAATGTGTGTATACATGACCAAAATCTCAGGAGAAGAAGGGAGGAGAAGGGATTGCAGTGTGGCCATCCCCCTTGGGCGGGGGGAGTGATTTCTCACTTTCCCTTTCACTGTCTCTCTCTCTCTCTGGCAAGCATATGCACCCTATGGCAAAAACCTTTAAAAAGTTTTTGAATTCCCTTTTTCAAATTCATATTGCCCTTAGAGTTCATTCCACCTAGATGATTTAATTTTGTGTGTCATATATTTGCTCCCAGTTTTGCCAGTGTTGGTTTTGCCTACCAAACTAAATTTTGCATATATGATAAACTAAATTACAGCCGTCTTTAGATCAAGGACTATGACTCAGTTCTTTTATTATTGTTATTATTATTTTTTAATTTGCCAGAGGATGCAGGTGCTGACCAAAGACAGAGAGACACAGAGAGACAGAGAAAGAGCATCCCCCCAATGGGGCATAGTCAGGCTGCAAACTCTTTTCTTTCATTTCTCCATCCTTCTGGGATTTTGGACATGCACACACATGTGCCTGACATGTTTTTCAAGCCATCAGGGTAGTTGGCCGTGTGGGATCCAGCTCCCTTAATAACCAGGCCATGGGCCAGTCTGGCCTCAGTTCTCGTTATACTTTCTAATATAAATCACAGGTTGGTCCACCTTGATGTTAGTAATACCGGTTGACTGACTGTTGTCATATAGCACCAATGTAATTGCAGCAAATGCCCAGTAAGTCCATGGGTAATGACTTAGCAAGGGCACATTTAGTTACAAGGTACAGAAACACTCAACGAATCTCAAGCAAAAAGAGAATTATTCATAGAAGACTATAATAGAAATGAATTATAGGAAATCTGAGTCATCTAGTGAGCCAAAAAAATTACTAGATAACTTATTTATCTTTCTTTCTTGTTCTCTTATTTCTTTTATTTTTTGTCTCTCACCGGGGTCTAGAGGTTTCTACCCCCCCCCCCCAAAACTGGCTTCTTTCACTCATCTACTGCATGTAGCTCCAATATGACCATTCCCAATGGCAGCCTCTGCACCTGAACTCAGGTCAGCCAGTGACCCTGTCCACTCAGTGGGGCTGAGGGCAGGTGTAAAAGAAATCTGCATGATATTCAGGCTGCTCATTACAGGAAGATAGGTGGGGCAGGAACATGTTCTCACATTACTGCAACTGTTTGGTCTCAAAAGTCAGTTCACAGATTTGGAGGGCAAATCATCAGAGAAGGTGTCCTTGTGAATGACCCCGCGGCCCCGCTGGCACAGCACGGACGCTTCCTGCTGCTCCCGGTGCCCTGCAGAAGAGCACCTAGAACTGAGGGTCAGGAGATACAAATTGCAAGTCTTGGTTTGCCACCGACAATTTTTATGGTAGCAGGCAGTTAGAAAAACTAATATTTGAGACTCTGACACCTCAGTTTTGGTGCGTAAAGTAAGGATAATAGCACCTGTTTTACCCAACGAGTTGAACGTTTTGGATTACAGTTTCCTTTATATTGAACCCTTACTTTGGGAAATGTGCTCTCTTACACTCAATTTACCAGGAAACTATTTTTTTAAAGAATGTTTAATTTAATTTAATTTATTATTATTTAAAATTTGATATAGGGCACTTACATTCACCAGAGAGTGAGAGAGAGACAAGGAAAGTGAGAAAGCAAGCTGCCAGATCTGGAACTCGAACCAAGGCCATCAGCCAAGTGCCTGAACCACTATGTCATCTGCTGCTCCCTCATGCCAGAAACTTTAAAAACTGTGGCTGTATGGCTTTATGCAGCCTTAATGTTATAGTACCCTTTGTCCCTCACCCCGTAATTAATTTTTTGCACT